GGCCTCTGCCGCTTGAGCTGCAGACTCCGCCTGTCCCGATCCACGCCGCCGCCGCTCATCCTGGAGCTGATCCTGCTGCATCGCCCGGTGGCTCCACCACTGTAACTCTCGGCGGCGGCGGCGCGCTTCCGCCCGGCGGTTGCCCGGGCCCTCCCGGGGGCGCCGCTGCCGCCGCGGCTGCGGCAGCGGCGTCCTCGCGCCTGGTCAACTAGGGAAGCGGTCCTAATAGAATCGGCCCCCGCATCGAATCGACCTCTGCGCAAGCGCCCCCCCTCGCGTCGCCCGGGCTGGCCCTCGCGGCGCCCGCGCCATCTTGTCGAACAACGCTGAGCCCCACCCTGTATTTTCCACCTTCCGTCGCATGGCGCTTGATCCACAGACTCCCGCCAGGGCTACGGCCGGGCGTTCGCCCGCCCCCGCGCCTCTGCCCAGCCGGATCCGCGACGGCCAGGAGAGCGCCAGCAAGATGATCGGACCCCCTGGTCGCCCGCGCACCGCCAACGGCCACGATGGGCTTTTAATACTTGAGCGCGCACGTCTTCTCGCAGAGGGCCAGGGCGGCGCCCTCCCGCGCCGCGCATCGGCCGCAGCGCCACGCCGCGCGTCTGGGGAGTCAGGCGAGGAAGGGCGACTCCGTCGTAGACCGATTGCCTCCGAGCTTCTGGGGCGACGCGAGCTGCGGCGCACTGACCTGTTCTCCAGCGGCCTGGATTGCTCTATCCGCCCTGCCGCTGGCCCGGGAGCAGCACCCCCCCGACTGCCGCGTGAAAATGTCTTCGCAGATCCTGGCCTTCATCGACCGGGCCCCCACCGCCGCGATGAACGTGAACGCTGCTGTTCCACCCGCTTGCACCTCCACTCGCGGGTGGGCGATCTCGGCCAACCAAGATACCACTGAGGCTAACTGGTAAACGTCGTCGCGCCCCTTCTCGATGATCGCTGCGCCCCGCGCTCAGCCCGTCGACGCGTCGCTGCCGACCGCGAGGAGCCCGAAGTTCACTCGGTCGCCCTCCTCTTCTGCTTAGCCGTAGTCGAAGCTGACCAGAGAGATGTCTGCGCTCGTCCTGTCGACCTGTTTGCGCGCCGCGTCGTTCGCCGCCGCGCGCGCGCCTCGCGCCAGGGCTCGGCAGGGCAATGCGTCAGCTCGCGCATTTCGATATCATCTGCGCTGGGCTCCATCGGCCCGTGTAGTCCCCGAGCTGCCAAACCGGCCCCCTGGTGCACACGGTCGCCTGGCTCCGCTGCAAGCCCCTTCATCGGCGCGTCCACAATCTCCTCCACTGCTGGCAGAAGAGCTGCCACTGTTCCAGGAACTGCCGCCGCCAGCGACGGTTCCCCCGGGGCCGACTTTCGCTCGAGAGCCCATTGCACTGCTCGCCCGTCGTCTTCTTATAGTCTGCTTGTGCTGCGGCTGCCGAGCCCACCGGCGTCACCAGCGCCTGGTTCTCCGTCGCCCTGCCCTCGGTGCCGTCGTTCTGCGCCTGGCACTCTAGCGCGCAGCGATTGCTGTTATTGCTCGGTTTGGCCAAGCGTGCAGACTCGCGCCTCGTGATTCCGCCTCGTCCGTCGCACCACGCAACCCTGCTTGGGGCCTTGCTGCAGAACTTGCCCACGCTCATGGCGGGCTGCTCCACGTCTTTCACCTGGACCTCCATGATGATATGTCTGTTTCCTGTGGCATAGAACGCCGCCGTCTTCGATCCGCGATGTCTCAGGGGCCGACCGCCTGCCACCGCGAGGCCCGGGTCCCTGCTCGCCGAAATCGGGGCACATGAAAAGTCCGGCGGCCGAGACGCGCGTTCGCCCGCACAGTTGTCCGCGAGCAACCACACGCTGACCCCGTCGCCCTCGGACCTCAAGCTGAGGATGCCCAACTGCACTGCGACGACGAAGATGCAGTTCTGCTCGAGCTCGTTTTCTGGCACCGTCAGGCACATGATGGCAGCGATACGTCTCGGCTGCTGAGCCCGTTGGCGCTGTCCTCCAGCTCGGCGCATCGAGGGCGCGAGTGTCGACGCTGAACTGCCCTGCGGGGAACTGAGGACCGTCCACGAGTCCGCATTCGCAACGTCGTTGACTGATGCCTTTCTTCCTCGATAATTTCCTTGAGGTCCTGTGTTTCCTGCGCCTCCGCCTCGGCGCCCGCAGGCCCCTAAGTAGCAGCCCCGACCTCCAATTGTATAGCACAGTCGCTGTCCAGATACCCCCGTCATGCTCCAGAGTGGCTGAGACACGGCCGCACTTCGATAGATTGTTTGGTGTTTGCCTCCACCCTTGCCTCCGATGTTCCCTCCTGTCTTGCCGCTGCTAACCGATGTATTACCTTTTGCCACATCGGCACTTGCCGCCACCCTTGCCACCGTACTGTCGATATTGAATCGGCCTCGTCAGCGCATCAACCTCCATGGCATCAGGGACCTGGGCAATGGTTTCGGTGGTGGTGGCGGCACTCGTTGGCATCCGTCTCCTCGTAGCCCGCCGACCCTTGCAGGTACTGGACCGCGGTTGCAACCAGCTCGTCGCACGATCGCTCGACTGGCATTTCTCTGGGACTGGTCTGAGGCGCCTCGTGTAAGTAAATGCACTCCATCACGCCAGCGTCGGAGACCTCTCACGATGCCGCCCCGTATCTCCGCATGTCTCTTCCCAAGTGCAGGTGGTACTGCTCGAACTCGGCGGGCAATTGTGGGAACTGCTTCGCACGCAAGATTCTTGTCATGACGTTTTCTGTTCACACAGCCGTCGCTGGTTCGGAGCTCGTCACTAACGCTCTCCAGGCCTGAGCACCATTTCTGAGCCTCAATGCCACGTATTACCATGCGAGTGCTTGCCTTGACTGTCATCAGCAAGGCGAAAAAACGATTATGGTGTGCTTCCGTACCTGCTGCCCCCATCTGGTTTGCCTGCCGATGTGTTTGGAACTCCTCGCTATTCTGCTGCGTCAAGGAGCGGCTGTGTGTACCTGGCCGGGCCGCCGAGGTAGGCTCACATTACAAAACTCCACTCCTGCCAACGCTCTTCTGGGCCGTTGAATGCTGGTGGCTTGAGCCCTGCACCTTGCCACTCCGTTCCAACGCTTTCTTCTCCCATCTGATCACGTAGAGATCGTCTTTGATGGGGGTGTCCGCGTCTGTGTCTAGGCTGACCCCTTCTGGGTTGCTGTCGGCCTCATCCGTGTGTTATCAGAACTCATATGGTTCCTCACTGTAGTCCTCGGGGTCTCCGTGGACCCTTGGGTTATGATACTTGTCGCGGGTTTGCTGGGCCGCCTCTGACCGATTCTGGTCGAGGGCGCTTGCCGTGGATCGCCCTGCGCCCTGTGCCGATGGGCGAACGCGGGGAAGGCCAGCGCCTGCAGTGGCGCTAGCGGGAACTGGCCGTAGTCAACAAGGCTACCATGACAAGCTTTGTGTCAAAGAGGCTATGGACGCGGAAGGGTCTCAGAGGTCCCCTCACACACATACTTATCTTTCTGAACTCTCTCCACTTCTATTCCCCCACTCAACATCACCCATATTACCATACCATGCTGCGTTCCGTGTGGAATGTACTACTCGTCACGCAGAACGTAATCGTGTGGCATCGTCGCTCACCTCGCGTGTTACGCGTTGTCTTACTCAGCGAGCAGCATACCAGCCAAAAGATGAGCGATGACGATTCCAGCTTCGATCGAGAATACAACTGCGTTGGAAAATCCACACGTGGCGCCTTCCAACGAAAAACGGAGCTACTATTGGATCCGTGTGCAGCGTACATCCCATCTTGATGCCCAACTTCTGGAAGTCTTGACCAATCAATCACACTCAAATGCGGTACGAGTCGCAGACATCGCCAAACCAACTGCGCCTGGCGACGGCGAACATACCCAACACACCTGAACACTTCTACGCAGCTCGAGAAGAAGCAGGAACAGATACCACCAAACACCCACACACACACACACACATACACACAGCAGCAGCAGCAGCAGCAGCCGCAACGGCTCATGCGTTCCTCACAGCGGCGCGTCCAACATGGCATACAAAACAGAACTCAGCTGGGGGACTTCACAGGCAATCGACCCCAAACTTCCTGTCAAGAATCAAAAAGCGATTCCCGGTGTGGGAAGAAGGCACGTTTGTCGCACACGCGTATATCACGGTGCGCCCTGGTGGCTGAGTGGAGCCAACGTGGCACCCCACAGCTGGAGAAGCGAGTGCTATTCGCACACAACCCGGGCAGACTTGCCGACGAGCGTTAAGTACAACTCCGCCACCACACTTGCAGCGGTAGGCGTGCCCCGAAAACCTGCCGCGCGTCTTTTGAATGGCCACTTCTCTTTGCAAAACGAGAGCTCGGGCCCCAGAGAAGCGGACCCCAACAGACATCCAGATGCACCACCATATCTCGGCGCATTTGATCATTCAGCGTATCGCGCCTCGCAATAATCAAACAACTGGCCAGCACCCCAACAGGCCCCGATGAGGGCCCCCCGTGAATCTTTCCTGGGGGCCACTGGAAGCCCACAGACAAAATGAAAAAGCAGTAGTGGTGGACGCTTCACCTTGCCGCCTCAGCGGACCAAAAATTACATCAAAAAAGGACATCTGGTCAAAACCTGGGAGGCTTCCAGGCTTCCGAGGGCGGCGCCGCAACGGTCTGGAGGACCCCGAGGCGGCCTGAAGGCGGCCCAAGCAGGCTAAGGCCCGCCCCCGACCCCGAGACGGCCCCAAGACGGTCCGAGGCGCCTAAGACAGCCCCAGCACCTCCACGGCCCCAGAACCCCCGACATAACCTCGAGACCCAACACCTCCACCCGAGGCCCTCGAGTGGCCCCCAAGGGGCCCGATAGAGACTCCCTGCAGGGCCCCGTAGACTCAGCAGAGGCCTCTTGAGAGACAGCGCAACAAGCATGCAACTCTGCGGCCGGGACACGTCAAAGCGTTGACACGCAGCTGTCCTCAGTGCAGTAGCGGATGTTCGCTTCAGCGAGAATGAATGACAAAACTTGCTGACGGACATCACAAAGCATAACGGAGCTCCAACTGGCCACTAAATGACTTCAGCACTAATGGCGCCTTGCGGCTGTTCAGCGTCACGTCTCCAAAGTGCTCCATGATATCCTCGTTGCTTTGAAGCCGTGCAGGGGCCACCCCGATGATCTTGGTGCTTTCGCGTGTGATGAACTTGAGGCCCGAGATGGTGGAAGCAAACCTTGCGCACGTGTCGGGGTCTGCAAACCTGGGAGCATGAAAAAAAACATACGAGAGCGGCTTTTTGCTCGCAACCGAATCGCCCCCTCACTGGTTGCGCCTGCTTGGGCATGCGAGCGCGGGGGGTATCCTGATCGCCAGGCTGAACGGTCGCCTTCGACCTGAAAGAGACTCACTGCCAGACCCTTTCTGGAACGCTCCACGTGGGCACCATTCCACAACAGGCTCGGGGGGAAGGCGAGATAACTCCTGCGCGCCAACACCGGAGACCGCCGGGCACACATTGGGAGTATTGAAACGGTGCAGCGACAGAACGTGCGGTGACCTTGGAACCCCCAAAGACCTCACAGCACGGTCTGTCACCACATGGTTTAGGGACATTGGATGCCCCAATCGCCTGAGATGTCCTCGGAGAACGACCCAAGTCCCAAAACCGTGCCGTGACCCCGAACCCTCAACGACTCACCACACGGTATGGTCACCGCACCGTTTGGGGGCCCCTGAACCGAAGGCCACGAGCAGCATGGGGCCACGCCTCTTGCTTCACGCCCGGGGCACCCGACGAAGGCGTAGCCCTTGTTCAGGACCTGGGGCACGGAGGCGGGAGGGGGGAGGAGGGGAGGGAAGCGGATTTCATTGAAGCAAGCATGCACGAGCCCGAAATCCCCCGCCTCCCGCTCTCTCATCCTCACTCCTCCTAACGGCTTGTCCCTGCCACATCATCTTCCGTTTCCCTCCACACATATTCCTTGTCCTTGACACGGTGCCACACGGTGAAACGGCCAGGCGCCCCTGGGCATCCGCAGGCAGGCTGGCGAACGCTCTGAGGACAATCAGTGTTACAGGGAGTCCGTGGCTCTGCCGCCGCCTCAGCCCGGGCCGACGGGTCGCCCGCAGGGGCGCGACTCTTTCTCGGCGGCGAGCCCGGGGGGGAAGTGAGAAGGGGTGGGCCTTCTCAGAAGGATCCGAAGTCACCCTGCCTTCTGAAAAGTGTTCTAAGCCTTCCCCGAAAGAACAGAAAGCACCCCGTTCTGAGCATTGCCGCCGCATTCTGAAAAGGCGTTTTCCTTCTCACCTCCCCCCGTCACTCGCCGCCGATCATCATCCTCATCTTCGTCCCCATCCTTATCCTCCTGATCCTGACCCGCCTCGTCGCTCCCGGCCCTTCCCCCGCACTCCGCTGGCCATCCTCACCCCTTCGCCCTCGTGTTCCTTTTCCTCTCTTTCCCTCATCCATCTTCTGTCCCCCTCCTCATATCACCGTCTTCCTTCTCCTTCATATCATCACTTATATCAGCATTACCATTATTATCATTAGTAGAACTATCACTATCAGTACTATAACTATTCGTATCATTCGTAAGCATATTGTTGTTGTATGCTTATATATATATATATACATATATGAGTAGTAATATTAGTATTGTTGATAATCTGGTTAGTATCACTATTACCTGACTAGAACCACGCGCGCGTCGCGCGCGCTGAAGTTGTAGTCGATTCCGAACACGGTGTCTGTTTCCATGAGAGCTTCTCCATGTAGTCTTCTGGGTTCCTCTCTCTCATCCATGCGTGATTTTCGGGCGGATACGGCGAAGTTCAAAGAAGGGTTTGGCCTGTAGCGTACCAGCGACGACCGACGACGACGACGACGACGACGACGACGACGACGACGACGACGACGACGACGACGACGACGACGGACCACCGACGATCAGCATCAGTGTCACCTGGTCCACGTGTGCGGGAGAGGCGTTTTCCGGAGCGTCTTGCAGGCATCATGGGGGCGTCCTCGGGCCTCGACATTGGGTAGGCGGGTCGGGGGGTACAGCCAGGGCCACGTGATCCGAAGGGCTGTTCCAGAGCATGGAGGACGTAGTAGTAGTAGTAGTAGTAGTAGTAGTAGTAGTAGTAGTAGTAGTAGTAGTAGTAGTAGTAGTAGTAGTAGGAGTAGTAGGAGTAGTAGGAGTAGTAGGAGTAGTAGGAGTAGTAAGAATAGTAGGAGTAGTAGTAGTAGTAGTAGTAGTAGTAGTAGTAGTAGTAGTAGTAGTAGTAGTAGTAGTAGTAGTAGTAGTAGTAGTAGTAGTAGTAGTAGTAGTAGTAGTAGTAGTAGTAGTAGTAGTAGTAGTAGTAGTAGTAGTAGTAGTAGTAGTAGTAGTAGTAGTAGTAGTAGTAGTAGTAGTAGTAGTAGTAGTAGTAGTGTAGTAGTAGTAGTAGTAGTAGTAGTAGTAGTAGTAGTAGTAGTAGTAGTAGTAGTAGTAGTAGTAGTAGTAGTCGTAGTAGGTAGTAGTAGTAGTAGTAGTAGTAGTAGTAGTAGTAGTAGTAGTAGTAGTAGTAGTAGTAGTAGTAGTAGTAGTAGTAAGTAGTAGTAGTAGTAGTAGTAGTAGTAGTAGTAGTAGTAGTAGTAGTAGTAGTAGTAGTAGTAGTAGTAGTAGTAGTAGTAGTAGTAGTAGTAGTAGTAGTAGTAGTAGTAGTAGTAGTAGTAGTAGTACTAGTAGTAGTAGTAGTAGTAGTAGTAGTAGTAGTAGTAGTAGTAGTAGTAGTAGTAGTAGTAGTAGTAGTAGTAGTAGTAGTAGTAGTAGTAGTAGTAGTAGTAGTAGTAGTAGTAGTAGTAGTAGTAGTAGTAGTAGTAGTAGTAGTAGTAGTAGTAGTAGTAGTAGTAGTAGTAGTAGTAGTAGTAGTAGTAGTAAGTAGGTAGTAGTAGTAGTAGTAGTAGTAGTAGTAGTAGTAGTAGTAGTAGTAGTAGTAGTAGTAGTAGTAGTAGTAGTAGTAGTAGTAGTACGGTTGTCCGGGGTTCTCGTTCCGCTTAAAGAAACTGTGAAGGGTGTAAGGGTTCGGGTTCGGGTTCGAGTTCGGGAACGCGCGCGAAAACATACATATTATACCTCATATACTCACGTCGACACTGAGGCGAATTGCTCCCCAGTAGGATCCCACTAGAAGTGAAGCGTTCCCCAGCCGCCAAAGCATCCCTTCAGATTCCGAATTGCTCCCCAATTGGATCCCACTGGACCTGGAACACGCACCCCCAACGAGGAGCCGTGAAGGAACCAACAAGGAATCATGAGGGAGCCATGATGGAGCCATGCCATGAGGGAGCCATGATGGAGCCATGAGGGAGCCATGAGGAAGCCATGAGGGAGCCGTGAGGGAGCCATGCAGGAGCCGCGATGGTAGCCGTGAGGGAGCGAGCCACCAGGGAACCATGAGGGAGCCATGAGGGAGCCATGACGGAGCCATGAGGGAGCCGTGAGGTAGCCATGAGGCAGACGTGAGGGAACCATGAGGGAGCCGCGAGGGGGCCGCGACGCAGCCATCAGGGAGCCGTGGGGGAGCCATGATGGAACCGTGAGGGAGCCATGAGGGTGCCATGTATAAGCCGTGAGGGGGCCACGACTACGACTACGAGTCGTCGTCGTCGTCGTCGTCATCGTCGTCACCGTCGTCGTCAGACCCCTCCAAGTATTTCAGACCCCTGCGCACTCCTCCAAAAACCTTCAGACCCTCCCATTCCTCCCGCGACCTCCGCACTTTTCCCAAAACATCCAGACCTCTGCACTCCTCCCAAAACCTCCGAACTCCTCACGGAACCTCCAGACCTCCGCACTGCTCCCAATGCCTCCAGACCCTCAAATTCCTCCCACAACCTCCGCACTCCCCCCAAAAGCTTCAGACCTCCGCACTCCTTCCAAAACCTCCGCACTCTTCCCAAAACCTCCAGACCTCCGCACTCCTCTCAAAACCTACGCACTCCGCACAAAACCTCCAGACATCCGCACTGCTCCTGAAACCTCCAGACCCTCCAATTCCTCTCGCAACCTCCGCACTTCTCCCAAAACCCCTAGACCTCCGCACTCATCCCAAAAAATCCTGCTGAATCCGCAGGAACCATGCACAATCCTAAAGATTCCCGCAGAATCCCGAGGAATCCAGAAGGCTCAAGGGCCTCCAAAAACAGAACATGGACCCCGGATTGCCCTAGTAGTAGTAGTAGTCGTAGTAGTAGCAGTAGAAGCAGCAGCAGCAGTAGTAGTCGTAGTAGTAGTACTAGTAGTAGTAGTACTAGTAGTCGAAGTAGTAGTAGTAATAGTAGGACTAGTAGTAGTAGTAGTAGTAGTAGTAGTAGTAGTAGTAGTAGTAGTAGTAGTAGTAGTAGTAGTAGTAGTAGTAATAGTAGTAGTAGTAGTAGTAGTAGTGTAGTAGTAGTAGTACTATAGTACTAGTAGTGGTAGTAGTAGTAGTGGTGGTGGTTAGTAGTAGTAGTTAGTAGTAGTAGTAGTAGTAAGTAGTAGTAGTAGTAGCACTGGTGGTAGTAGTAGTAGTAGTAGTAGTTGTTGTTGTTGGTGTAGTAGTAGTAGTAGCAGCAGTAGTAGTAGTAGTAGCAGTAGTAGTAGTAGTAGTAGCAGTATTAGTACTAGTAATAGTCGTTGTAGTAGCAGTAGTAGTAGTAGTAGTAGTAGTAGTAGTAGTAGTAGTGGTGGTAGTAGTAGTGGTAGTAGTAGTAGTAGCAGTAGCAATGGCAATAGTAGTAGTCATAGCCGTAGTCGTCGCCGTAGTCGTAGTCGTAGCCGTAGTCGTAGTAGCAGTAGTAGTAGTAGTAATAATACGTTTGCTGTTGTAAGATATGGTGATCGTAGCAGTAGTAATAGGACGAGGAGGAGGAGTAGCAGTAGCAGTAGTGGTAGTAATGGGATAATCAGTAGCAGTAGCACTGGCACTAGTAGTAGTAGTAGTAGTAGTAGTAGTAGGAGGAGAGAAATTAATTGTAAATGTAGAAGTAGTAGTAGTGGTAGTAG